AAAAATGCAGGCTGTTTCTTGCCTTTGTGTACAGATTGGGCTGAGAGTGAGAGGGCAGCACCGTGAGGATGCTAGGCATGGGGACATCACTCTGGTGTGACCCTCCCGTACCCATCCCCACACCAACCATAGACTTCATTGAACCATTCAGGTTGGAAAAGACCTCCAAAATCCCCAAGCACGACCCCACCGCATCCCACCATGCCCTCTGATCACATCCCTCATCACCACATCTCCACAGTTCTGGGACATCTCCGGGGACGGTGACCCCACCACTCCCTGGGCGGCAGTGCCAGTGCCTGACCGCTCTTTGGGAGAAGAAATTGTTCCTAGCATCCCACCTGAGCCTCTCCCGACTCAATGTACAGCCATCACCTTTGGTCCTATCACTGTTACCTGGGAGAAGAAGCTGGTCCCCAACTTAATACAATCTCCTTTCAGACTGAACAATGCCAGTTCTGTCCTATGCTCGCAGTGGTTCAAAGACCGCCTGCAGCCAGGCACCAGAGTCTCAGCACTAGGCAAAAATGCCAAAGCTCCAAAAAATAAAAATAAAAATCAAATGCACAAAAAATACCCAAACTTCTCCAGACAGCACATAAAACTTGCCAAAATAAATAAAGAAATGAAGGGCATGACCTAACAATGACACAGTGCTTTTAGCAAGAGCATTACCACCATCCCAGCAGAACAGGAGGAATAAGAGTGTTCTCATACATACAAAAGTACTTTATCCCCATCGAAGGGTGTCCTCTCTATTAGACCTGGACCCATGTCCTCACAGCTCCTTTCCCAATGGTGCCCCACTGCTTTTGCTCATCCACTCTTAATACCAAGGTGAGATGCTTGGATTTAGAAGCAGAGCAGACCCAAGGGAAGACCACTGACATTGGACCTGCATGCACTGCTATGAGGTCAGCACTGTTCCCTAGAAAAACACCAGTACATCTCCCAGGAGGTAGGAGGAGAAGAATCGCCAGCTGCATGGTGCCCTTCACACAGATCATAGGAGATGGAAGGTATTTGGCAGCATGATCACGCAGTGTTTACCCGTGGCTGTGGGCAGAGTGAGTTCAAGAGGTAGAAAACACTGTTGGAGACCATGGGGAAAGCAGGAAATTCTTGGCGCCAGGTCTCTGGTTCACTGCGCAGCCCTGGGCAAGTTATTTTATCTTCTCATCGCTGAGGTCTCCTGCAAGCAGACTGCGAGGAGTGCTGCCCACTGCTCGGTGGGGTTGGGAAACAACCACAGGGCTCTGAACGTCAGCTCTTCATGGCTCGGCGTGGGGCTGGAGCGAGCTCCAAGTGGGGCAGAGGCACAGTGGGGAGGTGGCAGTGTGAGGACATCAGTCCTGGTCTCAGCATTGCCTACTCACAGCTCCTCGCCTTTGCTTTGCAGAACCTCCGTGTCCGCAGCACAGGGGGCACAGAGTTCTTCACGCGCTCAGCAACCAAGTTCAAAGGGGCTTTGGCCCAGAAGTTCATGTTTGTGGATGGAGATCGGGCCATGTGTGGATCCTACAGGTAACAGCCGTGTCCCCTCTCACCTGCCCCATAGAGCTGATGTCAAAGAACCCACATGGTCCCTGTCCCAGCCTTGCTCCCCAGCTCCTAACTTAAAGGACCACATCACAAGGGAAGCCTAAGTTTATCCTAAGGCCATCCCATGGCCAGGACTGGGGCAGTGGTGGGACACAATGACATCAATGCACAACACCGTGCACTGGGAACAGCAGGAGTTCTGAGGCTCAGCCAGCCCCAGCTCTACGCTGACCTCAGATTTTCCTGTTAAACATTTACAACCCCAAGTTGTAAACCCCAATTGTTTTCCAATTTGTCCAAATGAAAGTTAGTTTTGGCTGAAAGAGTTGGTGTTTTCAGCTCTAAAAGACACGTTTCATAAACATGAAAAATAGAACATTTCCTATATTCTGGCCACAACAAAAAAACAGACTTGTAAACAAGTCCCTGTCCTTAACTAACCTAAACTGAGGAAGGAGAAGCAGCCAACACTAAAATGAAAAACTAGCTTGCCCACACTAAAAAAAATTGTGTTTTAATTCAAATTCCTGACTTCGAGCCTTCATTCCCGTTTGGGGTTAGAGCTTCTTATTAATCCCATCATTGTTAATTTTTATAGCAAGATCGTGTCCTCACTAGCACTGTTAACCCTCCCGGGAAAAGCCAGGGTTGGCAAGAGGTGCTTTGTGTACCAGCAAGCGCTCAGCTTCCAACACCTTTCCATTCCAGCTTCACCTGGTCTGCAGCAAGGACGGATCGGAATGTCATCACAGTGCTCTCAGGTCAAGTGGTGGAGGCGTTTGACAAGCAGTTCCAGGAGCTGTACCTCATGTCCAAGGGGGTGAGCCTCAAATCCATCTCCATGGGTGTGGAGCCCGAACCCGAGCCTGTAACACTGCCCTCCGTTGTGCCGGTGACCCCTGCCAATGCCATGGTGAAGAAGCTGATCAACCCCAAATACGCCCTGGTGAAGGCTAAGAGTGCAGACCAGATCAGCAAGACTTCATCCGAGAACCAGGACAAAACACAGAAGGGGGAAAACAAAGGCAAAGGGCTGCATGAGGGCGCAGCGGGAGACAGGCACGGCGAGGCGGCAGACCTCTCCCTGCTCATCCACCCCGGCCTCCTGAACCTGGAGAAAGCCAACATGTTTGACTACCTGCCCACCTGGGTTGAGCCCGACCCGGAGCCTGGGAGCGAAGTCTTGGGCTACATCAATATCATTGACCCCAAGATAAAGAACGTGAAGCTCTCACAAATGAACCGCATCAAAGTCTGCGACGTCTCCCAGGCCAGCGCCCAGCACCGGCAGATGCTGAAGAACAGGGAGCTGGAAGCCAAGAAGATCTCAACTCAGGAGCCACCTCTGCTGTCCCCCTGCCAGAGGCAGACCCCGCAGGTCCTCACAGAAGCTCCTGTGGCACTGGCCACCAGCCCCATTGAAGGCAGTGGCTGGGTGACAAAGCCAGTGGGAACATCAGCCGCTCAACCGCTGAGCCACCACTTGAAGCCACCTGAGGAGACACCTGAGGAAGCCAAGCCCCCAGTTCCAAAGCCAAGGACTGTCCCTGTTGGCGGCCTTGCAACCAAAGCCACCACACCGTGTGACAGCCACAGTGCCCCAGGGGGTGACGTGCAGCCACCGCCGGCTGACCATGTGGATGCGAGACAGGAACCAAAGGAGAACCCCAGCAGAGCTTCACCGGACAGCTGCCACCTCCCAGTGGCGGGGCCACAGGAGGACAAGGGGCCTCCTTGTGCCCACAATGGGCTGGGAGAGGAGGAGGAGGAGGAGGAGGAGGAGTATATCACTCTCAGTGACCAGGAGAGCTGCTCCAGCAGCTCTGCTGACCACAGCTACCGCCGCTCCAACGCCTCCTCCATTTCGGATGAGTACTTTGAGGTGAGGGAACGCTACGGGCCGCTGCGGCGAACCAACTCGGATGTCACTCACAATGGGGAGTTCGTGCCCATCCAGAGGAAGCTCAGTGACCCCCACATCAGTCGAGGAACTTTCCTCAGCCCCCTGGGGAGCCTCCCATCCCTCAAGCACGTCCGCGTGGAGGACATGGCCAAGAGGAGGAGCAACGCTGTGGAGATCAGGTGTGTGCTGCCCCACACCATCTTGGATGGCAACGGCTCCTACCCCACCAGTGCCACACAGGTAGGCCATCGTGAGCTTCACCACATTACATATCCTAGTCTAGCCTCAGTTCGTTGGGTCACAGAATCATAAGATCATTAAAATTTAAAAAAACACTAAGATCATCAAATCCAGCTGTCAGTCCACCCCCACCATGCCCACCAAAGCACGTGTCTAAATAGAATCACCGAACCATTAAGGTTAGAAAAGACCTCTCAGATCACCAAACCCAACCCACCTCACCATGCCCACTAACCACGTCTCTAAGTGTCACATATCCACAGTTCCAGAACACCTCTGGGGACGGTGAGTCCACCGCTTCCCTGGTCAGTGCATTTTTCTTATATCCAATCTAAATCTCCCCTTTTATCAGCACAGCAGTTGCAGGAGGTGCTGGTGCCCAGGGGGATGGTGGCCATGCCATAGCTAGCCAGGAGCGCACAGGGAAGGGCTGGATAAAAGGAAGGCTTTCTAGAATTAAAGAGCAACACGTGGCACAGGGCTGTGCCCAGAGCTCTATCCCATCACCCAACAGCAGTGGCACCGCTCTGTGTGACAGACACTATGCATGCAGGCGTGTCCCTCCCTGCCTTGTTTTCTAGCTCCTTACGCTTTGATTAGCATCAAAGCAAAGCGCACGGACACATAATGAGGTGGAGCAGCACAGCAGGGCTGGCAGCTGCCGCAGGCAAGCAATGCTGTCAGCAGCACCCACAGAGCCAGGGTTCCATGAAGCAGGCAGGAGGTCACTGCTGCTCATGTCACTGATGCCACCGGGGGCGACCCCAGCTGAGCTGCCGGGTCCATCTAATCTGTGCTTACAGGGAATTGAGGGTATTAGTCCAGAGTCCGCCCGCTGCTCCCTGCCCAGGGCTTTGCTCCAGCATTCGAGCCCTCACTGCGCTGCTCAAAGCGCTCAGGCACCTTCATGTTCCTGCAATAACTTGTCCAGGCCTTTTTGTGAGAGATAATTGAGGTGCTGCCAGAACCAGGAAAGCCAATGCTCAGCTGATGGAAACGTGCAGGGAATTGTTTCTCTTATGCGTAATAACAATAAACAGAGCCATCCCTGGTTAGCTCTGCAGAAACCTCTCATCTGAGGTTGGAGAGCAGCAACAGCACAATGAGGATGGCCCACCCATGGGCCCCAGCAAGGCCTTTTCTTGGCAATTCTGCAGTTTTCCACAGCTGCCTATTGCTGTTTGTCCTCCCATCTTGAACAGTGTAGGTATTTCCCACCATCGACGCCACCACACATTTTTATTTTGGGTCCCTTCACTCTCGCACCCAATCTCAGGGGTTTCTGCTTGGTGCCCGGCCAAACGCCTGCCCTTACCTGGGAACAGAGCCCTGCTGATCATGCCTGGCATGATGATGACAAACAGGGGCAGCATCTTCAGGTAGCTGGCCAGGATGGAGCCGGCCTTGGCATGGCTCAGGCTCCTTGCAGAGAGTGACCGCTGCACAATGACCTGCAGAGAGCCAAGGACATGGCTGAGTCACCAAGATGTCCCCCCCGGTGTCAGCCTCCCCTCTGCTGACTGCATCCCCAGCATCCCAAATGCTGGTGCTGTTGGGTGTAGGACCTCACCCTAAAACCATGTACACATATGTCCACAGTGCAGGTTGGGTTTCTCTCCAGTTCACTAAGTGGTTTGGGTTATGCCCTTGCAGCAGGAAGCGGGACCCCTGGGGGCCCACAACCACTCTGAGCCCCATCCCATAGGGACCTGCACTTCTACACACCGGGTGACCCACAAGCCTAAATCAGGGGGAGAGTTTTTGTTCAGAGGGTGAGCAGCACAGCAGCACAGTGAAAACATTTGGGCACAGGATTGCACCAAGCAGCTGTTGGTGTTTTCCATGAGGACTAGGAGTATGTAGCATCCTTGTGATAATCACAGATCATATTTTGCTCTTTTTCTGCTCTTTAACAAACAGGGCACGCACATCTACCGCTACCGGCCCAGGAACCTCACAGGCAGGGAGCAAGGCAAGGAGCCCTCCTGCTCCCCACCGTGCGAGAAACCCCCCGGGGCCAGCAAGCACCGAAGGGACAGCACCGAGCCCAAAAAGACCGTTGCAGGCAGCCAGCCCTACTGGCAGGGCAAAGCCTTCAGCCCCAGTAAGCCAAGGGCAGCAAGCAAAGCCCTGAGCTCCCTGCCCGAGAGCCAGAAGGCAGCCGAGGAGATGAGGACACCACTCGGCATCCCACTCTCCAAACTGTCCCAGTCCAAGCACCTTAAGAACAAAGTGATGGCAGCTCCAGGTGCTACCGACTCCAAGAAGAAGCCCCCTGAGCCCACCAGCCAGAAGGAGCAGTAGGGGTGGATGCAGGCGGGTGGACTGCAGGCGATGCTCTGCCATGCGGAGCAGGGGAATCTTGTTTACATTTACCTGGTCGGTGCACCAGTACCACGTGGCCATGATGGACAGCCCAAACGTCATCCCTGTCCAGGGCAGATCTCCAGAGATTGGGTCTCGGAAGAGGTGCATGGCATCCGCTCTGGGCAGGTGGCAGGTCGTGTTGGGAACGATCTTGGACGGCACGGCTTTTAGATAGGCCTCTTCCAGGTTGGAGTAACCTCCGATCGCATTAAAAGCTGGAAGGCACCGTTGGGGGAGGCTGGTTGGAGGCTGTCTGGTTGCCTCCAGGATCAGTCAGAAAAACACTTGAGAACTCGTTACTGAGAGCTGCTGCCCCCTCGTTGGCCCCCTTCCCACAGAGGGAGGCTCACGCGCGTGATTATATTTTATTTTAGTTATTTAAGAGACTCTTCTATCACCATTTTGCACAGCATGTCCCATTGCAGCCCGCCCTCCCTCGGGAGGGTGACCCACGTCTGGGACAAAAGGGACCAACGCCTCTTTTGACTTCGTACTGTAAAAGCAAGCTGTTATTAAAGCTCCCTGCTCCTAGAGTATGGGAAACACACCTAGAACCATTAAAATTGAAGATTAGGTACCTTTGACTTGACTCACTGTAGCCCAAGGTGCCTCGGTGCAGGTATCCACCCAACACAGAAGCGTTTTCTACCCCTGTGAGCGTTCTCCTTGCACAGCCCCATCCTTAATGAGCCTCCAGCCAAAATTCCCAACAAAACGCCCCTCTTCACTGTGCTTTTCCCAGGAATTGGGATCCTCCTCCCGAGCCCTGCTGTGGGTGACGTGCCATGAGCAAGCCCCAGCACGTGCAGCTCCAAGCCCTGCACAGCTGCCTTGGATCCCATCCTGCCCAGACAGCCCCGGGCTCTGCCTCAGCCCCAACACCTCCCTGTTCCAGAGGGGCTCAGGATGAACCCTCCTTGCAGCTGCTCCATGCCAATGGCAGAATTTGGGAGTCATGGGGAATCAGTGGCACCATTTTCAGGCGAGCTTTTGGGACCCCAATTGGGCTTAAGGAGGAGGATCATTCAGCTAGCCATGGTGAGGAAGGGGTTTAACGAGGACTGGAGAAGGTCTTGACACCAAGCAGGGGCTGCTCCTACAGAACAAGGTTTTCCCTCCTGCTCAGATGCAGTTTCAGATGCAGGGAGGAGGAACACATTGCAAAACAGCAAAACAGATCAGGCTCAAAGTGAGACCCAGAACTCTACTCCACGCATCCTTCCCAGTCACAGGCAGCGTCCGCCTCCTGCAAATACCCATTCCCCATACACCCTTCCGGGATGGTAAAAGTGGCCACTTTCAGCACCAACCCATAAGCCCTGGTCCTGTCCTCCTGCCCTGAGGCTTTTGGAGCCCTGCCGCCCCATTACCCCCTTTTTCAAAGCACTCCCCAGTATTGCACAGGAAATGCGCATTCACAACCCCCTCCTGCTCTTATGAAAGCAGTGCTGGCTCCTCTCCAGCGCGTGGTTTATCCAGGCACCGGCGACTCCCAAGCTTTGCATGGGCGTTGGGCACCAACAAAAGCTCTCCAGAGGCAGAGGTTGAGTGCTGAAAGCAGAGATTCGCGCCCGGGGGTGCGGACCTGCTCCCTTTCCAAAGGTGTCAACCGACAAGTCGCAACACCTACGCCTGCTCACACAGAAGAGTGACGCAAGGAAGGCAGTACAGCAAGGAATCGGCCTGCAGATGTAGGGCTGCAGTGGGAGCAGTGCCCCTCCAATGGGCAAGAGCAAGATGTCCCAGCCCTGGGAGCAAAGTCCCACTGATGAGTGCAGTGTCCCTGTGCTCAGTACCAAGGGGACACAGCAAGGGCAGTGCTGGTGCTGAGCCGCTGCCAAACAGCCTCAGCAGTCCTCTGGACTTTAGCATATGTAATCTCTCCATGCATACTCATCTTCTGCCAGGTGCAGCCAATAGCATCCACACACCCCTTCTGCCCCCCATGGGGAGAGTGCTCACAGCCTGGCAGATGAGCAACGCCTGCATTGCTGTGTCTGCCACAGTCTAAAGATACAAAAAGGGCAAAACCACAGAGAGGATCCTTTACGAGCTGAGCCCGATGGATCTGCTGGAAGTGGCAGCCCTTGGAGGATGTGAGCCTGCAGGTTCTCCCAAGACCAAGCAGCAGCTGCACGGCCAGCAGGCTCCTTTTGATCCCCTGGATCAGCCACTCTCCCAGCACCACCACCTCCCTGCACACACCTTGCTGAGCGGGTTAGCACGTCTGGAGACAGCTTAGCCATGTTGCTGCCACCAGGCATTTTCCAGGCATGCCTTGCTGCCCTCCTATTGCCACCCAAGAGCACAAGGGAAAGCCTCAGAGGACCTGTGGGCAATTAGCACTTCAGACAGAAGTGTGATTAGTGATACCCAAGCACCTGGTCTGACGTGTGGGCTGTGGTGTGGAGCAGCTGGGGCAGCTCCTCTGCCTGGCACAGGTCCTCACTTCTGCTGGGGTATCTATTGTTAATGATACCTCTCTCAGTAGGGGAGGGCTTCCTCTCTTTCCTCCGTTCTGTAAAGTGAAGCCTCAACTGCCTGTCCTTTCACTTGTTTGCATCACGCATCTTGCTGCAGACCTGCCCTGCTGCTGTCCCGCTGCAGGATGCCTGGATGGGCTCTTTCATATCAGGATCTGGGCATCTGGGACCTAAGCTGTACCCAGCTGAGAAGTGATGGCCAAGCTTCAGCCAAACACTGGAACGAGCTCTTGGACAGAGGGGACCTGAGGACAGCCAAGAGGTCACCAGCACTGGAGAAAGCCCACAAAAAGAACCAGCAGGATGCCATACTCACAAGGAATGGCACAGAGGGGAAACGCATCAGCAAGGGGACGCAGGTAGACCACAGACTTCCCTTAGGTGACTGCTGCTGTTTGGCCACCGAACTTCTCAGGCTGAGTTTATTTATCTGGGACTGTCCAAGCGGGGCAAGAGGGGCACAGCAGTCCTCCCAGCTCCTACCTCTCACTGCCAGCACGATGGCTCCGAGGACCATGATGAGTGTCTGCAGAGCATCAGTGTAGATGACGGCTGCCAGCCCCCCTGTGAAAAGCACAGCACTGTGTGCACCCACGGGTCGTACAGCCCCAGAGGACTCCCCACGCACACAAAGAAGTAGCGGGCCTAGAGAAAATGGGTTTCAACCCGTTTCAACCCAAGTCCCTGATTCATCCCCAGCCAGCAGCTGCCCGGCCATGCCTGCAATCTGCCCAGGACTGGGGTGACGCAGCGAGCACACCTCTGCTGGCACGCACTGGAATGCCTCGCTGCACAGTGAGCCTCGTGGGCAGGGAAAAGCCAATGTGGGATTTGCTCAAAACCGGAGTCTTGCAAAATCCACCACGTTTTGGATATAATTACGTCATTTCCTTATTTTGATGGCTGGGAAAAGATAGCGGCGGAGGATTTACTGCTGGACATCTCCACTGGAGCTACCAGGGAAGGGAATGTCTGAGCTTAAATAAAAGCTGGAATAATATCCTGGAAAGGATCATTGGTTCTGCAGCGCAAGAGTGGGACTGCAAGCTGGGGGCTCCCCATTTCCATCTCTGATTCATCATATCCCCAAATCACAAAGGAAAGGCACCAACTGGTGTTGCACAGAAACGGTCCCAACGTGGGAACATGCTCAGGATGTGATCCCTGCAGCTGGGCAGGAGAATGGCAGCGAGTTGCACTGCAGGCAGAGCAGGTGGGAAACGGGTTAGGCAAAGGGCTCTCAGATTTTAGCTGCCTCAGTAATGGTTCTGTAATAGGAGAAGCGCTGATTAGAGCTGATTACAAATAGGTGCACACACAAGAAAGCATTTAGCTATGAGACAGAGGAGGAGGGAGTGATTACAAAAGCAGAGTTGTAATGACAAAGGAGAGCTCACACCCGAGTTACTGCTCGAGCTGAGGCTCAAAAGGATGCCCAGCGAATGCTGGGTGGCACAGGAAACAGCAGCCCCATGAGCTGTGTCTGGAGCAATATCAGCCCTAACCAGCACACAAGGAAGAGTAAAATAGGAGTGCAAGTGTCATGGTTCAACTGAAGAAGCCAAACGGCGAGCATCTTACCTGCAATGGTGTAGAGCCCTGTCACCAGCAGCATCAGGACAGTGGAGAGGTAGAGGTCCCAGCCCAGGCAGACTTGCACAAACAGAGCCCCTGAGTACAGGTCAGTCTGCATGGAGACAAGGAGTGTGGCTGTAGGGTGCCACAGCCTTTGGGAACAACACAGGTTGTGAGCGGTGCTCTGTCCCTCACAGGATTAGGCCTAACCTGGCAATGCCCTGCTCCCCAGCTGGCATCTCACCATGCTTCCTGCAGAGTCCTGGAGATGGGCACCTGGTGCCACCTGGGGGCCACATCATTCCTGGCATCCAGCACCTTTGGGTGCTCCTACCTGGTGCAGCCATGCCTGCCCCAGGTGAGCCCACACAGTTAGGCATAATACCAACTAAATCACAAATCAACCAACCAGAAGAGCATTTACACCATGAGCTTGAGGACCCCCAGTTCAGGGCCTGTTCCATGATGTTTGCACCAGACTTTCCACCACTGTCCCTTCTAGCACCCCACGGGAGATGCTACATATCCTAGGTGGCTCCCAGGCCTGGCCATGTCTCCAGGAGAGCCCTCAAGAGCACCAAGAGGAAATTCACCCCAGTAAGTTCTGCTGAAGTGGAACCAACCCAGTGGCAACCATGCCAAAACTTCCATCAGCAGCACTTCTTTCAGAGATGCCTGCCATCCCAAATGGGAACCTGCTACAGCCTGATATCACAGATATGCCCAAGCAGCCCTACAGGAGGACAACTAAGTCATCCCCACACTGCAAGCCAGCTACAAGGCAGAAAAGACCCAGCCAAGGGCCTCCAGCCATCTCCTCCCAGTGCAATAGTCTCAGAACCATGGAATGGTTGGGTCGAAAAGTCCTTAAAGATCATAGAACCACTGCATGGTCAGTTGGATAAGACCTCACAGCCTGCCCAGCCCCAACCCTTGCCATGGGCTGGCTGCCTTCCACCACATCAGGCTGCAGAAGGCACCACCCACAGCCTTGGGCATTTCCAGGGATGAACAAGAAGCAGAGCCCCAGAGCTCAGATGCGAAGGCTCAGCCCTGGAGAAGACATTTCATAACCTGGGCTTTCTCAATGCCAAAGCATTTTTGCAGTCGTCTGCAAATGAGTCTAAGCTTTTGCTATGAGGAAGCAGAGGGATCCCCACCTCCCTTCCTCATAATGTTGCTACGGTGGGAAAAAATAAAAGCACATGTGACTGAGTTGTTAATAAGACATCCCAAATACAAAAACAAGCTAATTAAAACCAGGCATGACCTATTCATAAAACAAGTCCTTTCAACTGTAAAAGGAGAGCAGAAACCTTTGAAGTCAGGTTCCTAATCCGATGAGATCCCTGCCTCTGCCAGTGACCTCACATGGAAACCCGTTCTTACCCAACACCACCAATGCCTTCCCAAGGGGAGCTGCTGGCCAAGCCTGAGCCTGGGCAGAATGAGTTACATGGGACATGGAGGAGTCTCCAGGGCTCTCTGAAAGTTCACGCAAAGCTTCACCTATTCCTAGCTAAGGGGAATGGAATCTCTCAGCTGGGCTTTGGGCTGCTCCAACCACAGAGGTTTGGGGACCCGTAAATGGGGAGGAGGGAGAGTGGTGCCCCCTGCCCACAGCAGAGTCATTGGAGCAGTGGTGACAGTCCCATTGCCCTGAGCACAGCACCAGGGAGAGGACACACATAACACCACCTGGCGTATCTGCCAGCAGTCACCCCAACCACTGCATAGGTTCACCATGGGTGGTGCCAGATGCCAGGTGACCCTGGCCAGGTTGATCCCTCTTCTATGGGGTCCTGCATGGCTTAGTAGTCGCAGGAAGCTCAGCAGCACAAACATGGCATGGGCTGAGCAACACCACAGGCAGCGCTATGAGGGTGGGTGTGGGATATCCATCCCCTCCAGACAAAATCACTGGTGGGGCTGGAGGTGTGTGGGCTGAGCATCTCCATGGCAGAGCAACTGCTTTGGTGAAAGGGGAGTTGTTGTGTGATCAGCTGGAGAGACTCCGATACAAGCATTCTATACATTCAGATCACCAAGATAAATGCTGCACCATCTCCCTCCCTGGGCACCATGGGAACAGGGAAGAGGAGTGAGCGTTGACAGGTTCCCAGGCATTAGGACAACCAGGGAATAATGGGTATCATTGCCCCAACTTGTGAACCGGACAGATGCTGTCACCTGTCCCAGTGGGAGCGGCAGGCAGAGCTGGGCGAGTCCCAGCATTTCCATCCGGACACAAAGGGACCGAGGGCTGGGGATGGGCAGGAGAGGATATTTCTGCACGGCTGAGAGCAGCAGAGACGCGGGGAGATCCCGACCCCCTCCACTGCTCCGAGGCTCCGTGCAGGCTACGATGCGGAGCAGCAGCGGTGCTGCCCGGCTTGGGCTGCGCTGTGCATTCCGGAGCTGCGGGCAGGGAGCGCCGCTGCGTGGGGACGCAGCTGCTGCTGCAGCCACTCGCTGCCTCCAGGCAGAAGCACTTGCTAAATTGTGCAGTAATCCCCCGTAGGACTCCTCAGAGCTGCGGGAGCGTGGATAAAACCGCAGGGTACAGCGCAGCCTGAGCACCTCTCACCCAGAGCCTCTCTGCTACGAGGCACGCCATAGAGCTGCCCCAGAGCTGAGCAGAGGTACTTACAGAGATTTTGGTGAAGATGGACAGCAGGAGAGACAGCCCAGAGAGGTACATCCGGATCCTCTCGCCTCCAAACCTTCGCTGGAGGTACTCAGGCATGGTGACGATCTGCGGGAGGGGATGGGAGCCGTGGCTGTCCCCATCCTGTCCCCATGTCACCTTCTCTGTGAGGTGGCAGCATTCTCAGTGCAGGGTTCAGGGGATGTTCCTGAGATTAGGTAGATCCACGTACCCCAGATGAGATGTAGACTGGGACGAAGACCCAGGCCAGCACCAGCAGCGCATATGTGGCCTGTTAGGAAGGAAACACACAGCGCTGTCCCATTCACTGCACCTGCCCCAACCCCAGCTCCCCCCTTCACACACATTTGTTTCTCTAAGTGGCCCCAAACAGGAGGTGCAAGTGTGTAAGATCACAGCAGAGACCACCCAGCACCCTGCCAACAGGACCCTGCCCCTCTCAGCCCTTCATCTTCAGAAGCATCCCAACACCACCTCCTCACGTGCCATGGTTTTGCTATAGAATCCCACGATTTTGGAAGTCACCCATGGGAAAGCAGCAAACTGGTGACCCAAAAAGCCACCTCCCAACTGGGATGATGCAAAGCTGCTGCTCCAAAAGCATCCAACTCCCTGCTGACAGGGGCTTGAGCTGACTCCAGCATAATGATACACGCACTGGGCATGATGTAGGTAAGCTGAATTTGTGGGGCTGCATTGGTTATCCTCTGCACAACTCCTCTGCTATCTGCAGCCACATGGCTCACAAAACTCATCTCCTTGCTAACACAAGACATTTCTTACGTTCCACTCGAAGCCGGTGACAGCGATTCCCCCAGCAGCACCAGTCCCAGCCAGTCCAATAAAGAGCCCTGAGCCCTCACTGCTGGCAAACAGAGAGGCTCCGATCTGCAGAGAGAGCAGGAGCTGCTGGCAGTGTGGACTCGGGCATGTTGTGCCAGGACAACTCCTGCCAGAGTCCTTTGGAGGTGCACGTCTGGCCCCAGCAACCAACGCTTCCTTGTGTCCAGCTCGTCTCAACATCCCTACTGGGTTTTGGGTGGGTTTTCTTGGTTTCATAGAATGGCTTCAGATGGAACGGACCTTAAAGATCATCCAGTTCCAACCCTCAGCCACAGATGGGGTCGCCAGCCTCTAGATCAGGCTGCCCAGGCTACCGCTCAGTGTGGAGCCATCAGCAAAACGCTGAGAGCACACCTTCCATCCCAGCATTTGTGTCACTGATGAAGACATTGAGGAGTCCAGGTCTCAGGATGGAACCCTAGGGGACCCCACTCCCCCTGGACCACAACCCTCTGGCTGTGCCCATCCAACCAACTCTTTATCCACCGCCCTTCAAATCTGCATCTCTCCAATTCAGAGAGAAGGATGCGGTGTGGGACCGCAGCGAAGGCCCCGCACAAGGCAGGATGAGGAACAAGCAGTGCTGCATCACGGGGAACCACGAGGTCTCTACTTACTGGCCACCACGCCATGTCTCTGCCAGCAAGGAAATAACCGCTGACCGTGTTCCTGTTCACCCTGCATGAAGACTGGGAGGAGAAAGCATCAGCACGGAACACTTTCCCTGCAAACCCAGACAAGAAACCAAGAACCCAGCCTGCCAGACAAGAAGCCAAGAGACAAGAGACTGGATAATTAATGGGAGTTCTGCAACTCCGGCATAATTACATGAAACAGCAGCTGCACCCCAAATCCCCAGAGCCACGAGCAGTAAAGGGCACCCCCAGAGCGGGCAGTGGGAGGGCAGAGGATGCTGCCTCCATGCTGGGCAGACAGGCAGGCTCGTAGGGCACGGCCCTGGACAGGATTTTTCTGCAAGGCAGAATAGGTGGCTTTGGAGAGCCTTTGACTCAAATTGCAGGTTGCTGAGAGCTTTTTGTGGTGAGCAGCGCATTTGTCTTAACAGCCTGTAATAGAGAAGGGCAGAGCTGCTCGCGGGCAGCAGGATGGGGGAGAAGTTTGTGCCAGCTTCAGCCCACCTCGTTCTGAGGCAGGAGGAGTCCTTCCATGTGCGATGAGGAGCAGAGGGCGTACACAGCAGAACAGAGCAAATGCAGCACAGTATGCAAAATGCACAACAAAGGTAAACTTCAATGGATGGGGGAAAAAAGTGTATTCTAAATGATAGAAGAGGAAAGCAAAAGCTGAATAACAAGAACACTCTTACCCATATTCCCACAGCAAGGTTTAAGGAAAAGTAAGTCACTACAACCACAAGATCAGCAACGCTGAACTGCTGCAAAGGGGTGAAGGATCCGACCGTGGAATTGCCTTCCATCGTTCCTCTGCTCCCTCCTTCACCCTCCAGGGAAGCCTCCCACTGACGGTCACTGAATCAGTAACGCGTTGCTGCCCGAGGGAATTGATCATTAATCAACCCCCCGCCTCGCAGCTCAGCACCCCCCGCCCCCGCCCCCCCCCCCCGCAGGAGCCAGCCCTGCCTGCAGAGCCGCCCGAAGGAGCACAGCTCTGCAGGCACAGCCGGCAGCACGGCATTCTGCTGTCACACACACAAGCTGTGACTTCAGTCTGATTGGTTTGGGTTTTTCTTTCTGTTTTCTTCACACCGTTCCTGAGGAGAAGCGAAGTTCTCCCCCACTGCTCGACTGGAATTTCACTTGCATTACCATATCCCAAGTAAGTGTACGTGTTAATGTGTCAGCTTGGGCTATCTAGTAACACCACAGGACTGTTTAATAACCTACTGTCACTACAGCACAACCAGGTGCAGCCTCGCCATTTGGCCCTTGGTAGACAGAACCTCACGGGACAGCAGAGCAAAAGGAATCTCCATCTCACTTGGCGAACGCACCAAGAGCTCCCAGGGCTCCCAGCCACTGCCCAGGCCTCTGCCGCGCCAGGGGCTGTGCTGACAGACGTGAGGGAATGGGGGGGAAGCCTTCCAAAGCCCAAGGATGGCTGCCTTCCTCGCAGACACATCAGCAAAGGTTCGTTTTCACCTCCGATTTTGGCGACGCCGGGAGTTTCGTACCTATTTGTAGGACATTGTGATTGAGAGCAATTAGACAAACAACCCGTAAGAAAACGCTCATTAATTCCACCGCAGCCAGGAACTTCTGGTCACTGAGCAGCTCAGAGCAGCTCCCTGCATGCAAGTGTCCACCGGGACAGCTGGCAGAACAGACCTGAGCAAGTCCAACCTTGCCTTATGGCCGGTTTTTGTTTGGGTTTGTTGTTTCGGGTTGGGGGAAGCTCACGTTCCTACATTCAGGCCAGGACACAAAGCTTTTCAGAGCCAGTTCACCTGTGATGAGCTTTTATCAGCTGCGACCTCTGCATCCCATCACCGTGCTGCTGCTGCCAGCTCTCCCTGCTAACCAAACCCTGCACAGCACCTCCGGCCACCTCTACCCTTCAGCTCAACAAGTACCAGCACCAGCAGAAATCCTCAGGCCAAAAAGCCAGGACTTCACACATCCCCTGCTCCATCACTGCTCTCAGTTCCATACACTGCTCACCCCAGTACTCCCAAGTCCCCGTTGTCCCTTGACATCCAGCCACAGGTTCAGATTCCTACCACACTGCCTGAAGCAAAGCAGTACACTGCAAGCATACAATACCTGCCAAATTACAATGAAACTAATTAACACGTTTGTGATAGCCCCCAGAAACTGGGTGCTCGAAGGCTGTGCATCTTGCATTTTACAAGGCTGCTCAGCAGCAAGACAGGCTGAAATGTAACAGAGTCACAGCATTCAGGAAAAAGCAGCCTCTCCTTGCCTGCAGGTGCTCCAGCACAGGACAAGCAAAACAGATGCTGCTTCCTTACTGCCTGGAAGCCTGAATTCTGCTTATATTCCAAAGTAACATATAAGCATAAAATGATCAATTCATCTCTTGACTTCCTCCAACATCCCAGTATCTGCAGATCATTCTGAAGTGAGGACATTTTGGAAGACAAGCGACTGTTATACAAACATTTTTAGAAAGCTCACACAAAACAAATCTTTATTCTTTGTCGCAGAAAATAAATACAGGTGCATATCTTCATATGCTTTATAGAAAAGCACTCCTACAAAATCACTTAACTGCATACAACAGTACAACCTTTTTGGCTTTTTAAATGCAAATATTATACAGTCACTTCATTTTATTATCTTTTAAAGCACTCGCAGCAAGCAGCTTTGGAAAAGGAATGCTTAGTTTAGAAGCCAAATTCTTGCTTCAAGTGTTCTGTGGGTTTTTTTCCACCATGTATATAGTGCAACTAACCTATAAGCAACTAGAACAGTTTTCTGTAAAACGTCTGCCCACCTCCCTCCCTCTCTCACCACTTTTCACCCCCCAAAAAAACTGCAAAGAAAAAAAAAACAGCTCTTAAAAAACTGTTCTACCTTGATACTTCAACCAAGAGAAAACAAAACGTGGCTCAATAGAAATATTAAGTAAGCATGATGCTTCACAGCTCGTTATCTTCTCACTTCCAGTTTGGCCCAAGGTGTTTATTTAAATTAGAAAGCTTTAATCATCCAGTCCAATGTTTCTGAAAAGGTACGACATGGACTCCCCGTTGTGGATCCTGCGAATGGCTTCTGAGAGGATCATGCTGATATCCACAGTCTTGATTTTAGGGCACTGCAGTTTCTGGATTTCATGTGGAATCGTGTTTGTAACAACCACCTAAAGGAAGAGGACAAACTGGTCACATACAGCCCCTCCATCCTTTCCACCTGCCGTATCAGAACTGTGAAACTCCACGTCCACCCTCCAGATCCTACCAAACCAGCCTGGCTGACAAAGGAACAGGATTTCACATTACTGCCAGGATCAAAATCTCAGGGATATCAACGCACTGCTGTAGGACTCCTCAGAGCCACAGAGACCAGCTGCAGTGCTCCCCTTCCTTTAGTGCCAGCACTAAGTTCAAAAAGGAAGGTACAAAATTCCCCTCCAACGTGCGGGAGATAAGTGTGCCAGTACTGACAGCCCATCTCTTCACTCTCCTAGTTTCTCACTGCTACAGTTACAGGATATAGAGATACCACTTTTCTAGCATTCAAGACAAGAGTAATAAAGCCTAAACACAGGATCCTACCCAGATCAATTCTTAATGCCAGTATATGTTAAGAATCAAGTCAGGAAAAATTTGCTGACTTAAAAAAGTCATCTGAGTAGAAATTCAGCATGTATGCTTACTTCATCAATTGCAGATTCTTCTATCAGCCTGGGAGCATCTGAAGACAGCAGGCCGTGTGTGGCCATTACGAAGATCTTGTAAGCCCCCCTCTCCTTGAGGGTCTCTGCTGCAGCAAGAAAGCTGTCAACATCATCTATAATGTCATCCTGTCAAACAAAGGGGACACTGAGCCACTGGAACTCAGCACGTTCTCACACAGATCAACACGGTGACCTTTCACCTTTTCCAGATACAACACCCAAATGTTATCAGAAGCCCACCACCAAAGTTTAGTTACTAATGCAACAAAAACTGTACTTGCTGTCTGCAACTTTAACATACTGAATATGATTTATCCAAAGGCACAGCATTTTACTCACCACGATGATAGCTATTCTTCCGCCTACATCTCCAACAACTGTGATGGGTGGTTTTTCCTTGGGAATCAGCACTGATTAACAGCAATGTTTTAGAGAAACAGAAAACAGAAAGGAAAAGAAGGTTTATACAATTTACATTAAGTGTAAAAACATCTGCCTTGCATCAATCACCACTGTTTTAGAGAGAAACGACATGACAAGTATTCCAACAGCGTTTCTGGGAAATGCAAAAAAATATATTTTAAGTCCAACCAAAAGCATGAATGACACGGGAACAGTGGCTTGCAGACACAAGCAGTTCCATCAGACCCAAGCCAGGTTTATGCAGTGAAGTTTTGCTGGTGCAGCACCAGGTCACGGCCCATTCAGCACAGCTCCTCTGTCAAGCACACAACGCTGATCCACACACACACAAACCCAGGCCAGCTCAGCTTACAACTCCATGTCCCAGAACAAAACCCAACCACAACCAAGAGGCAGAAGAGCGCGGCCTCTGCGCCCCGCTGCCCCATGTGATGGCACAGATGTCAAACACAGCACAGCACCAGAACCAGGGATCACAAAGACACCCAACAGCAATCTTCTCTTCCCCCTCATGTTCTCACAAAGATTGCTGATGGTCCAGCACGATCATCCCTGCCCCAAAACCACAAAAAGCAAGAGGTGAACACTTTCACACACACAAACTTACTTACTGGGTATCTCCAAACTGGGATGAATAGCAGCTACGTTCTTGGCTGTGGGCGGTGAATGTCGACCATCCACCATGTCAGACTCTGCATCCTGAGCTTCCCCATGAATCACTGCAATTCCCAACCGTAAACGTTCAGCAAACGACTGGGCCCTGGCGAGGAAGGGTTAAAGAAAAATAATCATGTATATATAAGGTACACACATTAAACCTAGAACAATGCACATGCAGACATGTCTAACCTACAAGTATTTTAATTTTATTTCTAAAGTTACAGAGGAAAAGCAAAATGATCCTAAAATTGCAGGACAATAGAAGAAATCAGTTATCCCGTGCCATCTTGTTTTCACTAGGCTTGTGAGAGGTAGAATAGCCTTGGAAGTGTACATACAGGCTTTGCAAGCAACAGGTCAAATGCTGCAAAGGCAACAAATCTGATTGCTCCTTTCCATTTTGCCCAGTCAAAAAAAAACAAAAACAAAAAACAAATGAAACTTTCTGGCCTTCAGCATTCTTGAGATCCTGTGCTTCAGCTGCTGACATGTAACCATCACCAAGAATATCTGGATTGCTTACGTTTAATGAAACACAAACAATTGTTCACCTATTTCTTTTTAGCAAAACGTGGACTAAGGAAGGCAGCATCCCTGACCTTCTGACACGCAGCCTTAGATATCCTACTGAAGAGGCATCAAACAACAATGCTGCCTAACAAACAGCTCTTGATATTTAAACAGCAATCTACAAACTCACAACAAGTTCCCCCACCATGCAGTATTTTCCTGAATTCAGAATTTATGTAAAGAAGTGCCAAGTCAGCTGAAGGAGTGGGAAAAGCAGAGAGGCAGCAAAATAGGAAATTTGCAGCCAGTGCCTGCACCCCAGCTGCCAGCAGCAAGGACAACAAAGCAGGATTCGCCCCGCTGACCTCGCACTCCCAGCTCAGCGCCCCGCTGACACACTGAGCTGATCTGATCTCCCTCTGCTCAAAGCGACACCAGCACACGCAAAGCCAAACGCCTTGTCCTAACCTCAGTACCTGGGACTTGTGGCCTGAATTACCTCCTCTA